TCACCCGGACGGATATCAGATTTCCGTCAACGCCCCTTTAGGCTCCTCGGACCATTGTCTGGTCCGGAGTGTGGTGACTCACGCTGAAATCGCGGTTGCATTCTGCAGGCTGCCGCCGTGTTTGGCACTATAGGTCAGCCGATTGGGATGGGATGCGGTCTTTCTTTGCATCCTACCCTTGGGGGCGGGTTTGCTTCTCGCCGGATGATCCCAACGTTGTTGCGGATTCTGTTGCTGATGTGGTACTTCAGGGTATGGAACTTTTTATTCCTTCCTCTGTGGTGCCCATTGGAGGCAAGTCTCAGCCATGGTTTGGTCGCTCCTGTAAAAAAGCATCATGCTATAAGCAGGAGTGCTACCAAGCCTGGGCTGATGCATCAGCGTCCCGGGATGTAAACACCAGCGCTCTAAAAAAAAAAAGTATAATTCCGCCTCTAGGTCCTTCAAAAGAGTCATTGCCAAGGCAAAGTCAGAGCACATAGGCAGAATTGGCGAGAAACTAGTTCGCCTTCCTTCTGGAACCCGTGCATTCTGGTCTCTCGCCAAGGCTGTCCAGGGGAATTTCTGTCAGCCATCTCTTCCATCTCTGCACAGAGAGGACGACTCACTGGCCCATACCGCAAAGGAGAAAGCCGATCTTCTAGGCTCTTTCTTTGCGTCTAACTCGACTCTCGATGACGGGGGGAGTACTCCGTCGACCATCCCGCGGTGTGAGTGCTCCATGCCGGAAGTGCACTTCCCACAGCGCTCGGTTCGCAAAGCACTCCTCTCCCTGGACATCCACAAGTCGAGTTGGCCTGACGGAATCCCCCCAATTGTGCTGAGGACGTGTGCTCCAGAGTTGGCACCGGTTTTAACGCGTCTTTTCCGGTACTCCTACTCCCTAGGCGTAGTCCCAAAATCATGGAAGACGGCTTTCGTCCACCCGATCCCTAAAAAAGGCGACCGCTCAGACCCGTCCAACTACCGGCCAATCGCCATCACCTCCTTGTTCTCCAAAACAATGGAGTCCATTGTAAACTGCCAGCTCATGAGGTACCTTGAAGATCACCAGCCGATTAGTGACCACCAATACGTTTTTCGCCGTGGTCGGTCAGCTGGTGATCTTCTGGTCTACCTAACTCACAGATGGGCAGAGGCAGTAGAGTTCAAGGGGGAGGCATTGGCCGTTAGTTTGGACATTGCGAAGGCCTTCGATCGGGTTTGGCACAAATCGCTTCTTTCGAAGCTCCCTTCCTATGGGCTTCCCGAGAAATTGTGCGATTGGATCACCAGCTTTCTTACAGATCGGAGCATCAAGGTCGTTGTAGACGGTGCAAGCTCCGATTGCAAGCCTATTAATGCTGGTGTTCCACAGGGCTGCGTGCTATCGCCAACGCTGTTTCTTCTGCATATTAATGACATGTTGCATACCCGTAACATTCATTGCTATGCAGATGACAGCACTGGTGATGCTCTTTACACCGGCCGAGCCAATATTTCTCGGGAAAACGTCTCCGAGTGCCGGGACAAACTTGTGTCTGAAGTCGAGTCCCTGCTGGACAGAGTCTCGGATTGGGGGCGACTAAATCTCCAAAAGACACAAGTTTGCGCGTTAACCGCTAAAAAGAACCCCTTTGTCGTATCCCCTCAGTTTCAAGGCACTCCCCTTGTTGCCTCCGCCAGTATCGGAATCCTCGGCGTCGACATATCGAGTGACGTGCAGTTTCGTGGTCACTTGGAAGGGAAGGCCAAATTGGCCTCTAAAAAAGCTTGGCGTGCTCAGCAGAGCGGGACAGTATTTCATGCCGGCATACCGCCTGCAACTTTACAAGGCGTAGGTTCGGCCGCACATGGAATACTGTTCCCATCTCTGGGCTGGGGCTCCCCAGTACCAGCTTCTTCCACTTGACCGCATCAAGCGCAGAGCGGCTCGAATCGTCGACGACCGAGTGCTTTCCGATCGGCTCGATTCACTGGCGCTGCGAAGAGATGTTGCATCTCTTTGCGTATTTTAGCGCATCTATTACGGGGAGTGCTCTGAGGAATTGTTCGGATTAATCCCAGCCGCCAAATTTCGTGAACGCACTACACGTCAAACGTCCCGATACCATCCACACCATCTGGATGCTTGGCGGTCCACCACTGTACGTTTCACAAGGAGTTTTCTTCCACGTACAACCTCTCTGTGGAATAGTTTACCACCGGCGATTTTTCCGGACCGATACGACCTGGGGACCTTCAAGAAAAGAGCTTACTCCTTTCTAAAGGGCCGGCAACGCACCCGCAATTCTCCTGGTGTTGCGGTTGATCATGGGCGGCGGTAGTCACTTAACATCAGGTGAGCCACATGCTCGTTTGCCCCTTCTTCTATAAAAAAAAAAAAAAAAAAGAAAAATGAGCACACAATCCACATATTATGTTGAGTGGATGTTCAAACAATATGCAAGCGATTTAGTATATCCATTAACATTATTAGTAAACCAATCTTTTGAAGAAGGCGTATTCCCAGATATACTAAAACTTTCACTAGTGAAACCCATCTACAAAAAAGGTACACAAACGGACCCAGGCAACTATCGACCTATCGCCTTATTGCCCACAGCCTCTAAAATAATTGAAAAAGCATTATACGACCGTATCTATAAATTCTGTGAAAAATATAATATATTTAATGAAAGTCAAAACGGTTTCCGCAAAAACAAATCAACAGTTCTAGCAATTTGTAATTTTTAATTACATTCAAAAAATACATAATATAATTAACGATAAAAAATATGCTATAGGAATTCTATTAGATATGTCAAAAGCATACGATAAAGTGCAATATAACATATTACTAAATAAATTATATGACATAGGAATCAGAGGCCCGTGCTACAATCTGCTAAAATCATATTTACACAATAGAACGCAAATAGAAATTGAGTACTTTAATGACAAATTACACAAAATTGAAAAAATTAGATCCGATACTAAAACTATTAATGCCTCAATACCTCAAGGCAGTGTGCTGGGGTGTCTTATGTTTTTAATTTATATTAATGACTTTGCAGAGGCTCTCAAGGAATACTGTATCATGTTTGCGGACGATATTTCTATTCTTATATCAAGCCAAAGTCCAAGAATGTAACAGAAAAAATTAACAATATATTATTAAGAACAATGGACTGGCTAACTAAACATAACCTGCGGATAAACTTATCGAAAACTAAAATAATGTCTTTTCACCCATATCAAAAACTAAAATTCGATATAAAAATAGATAATGACGGCTTCACTATAGATACAGTTAGCGAGCACAACCTCTGGGCCTAATAATAGATACCCATATTACTTGGAAACCACATATAGAAAAATTACATAGGAAGTTAAGCAGCTTTATTTACGCGTTACGAGAAGTAAAAAAAACAACAGATGTAACCACCACGATAACAACCTACTACGCGTATGCATATGCATGGCTTAGCTACGGCATTGTCCTATGGGGATGCAGTACTGATGCCTCAAGTTTATTAACTAAACAAAAAAAAAACTAATACGAATCATAGCTAATATACAAAACACAGAAAGCTGTAAGCCTTACTTTAAGAAGTATAACATTTTAAGCCTGCCCTGTATCTATATTTTGGAACTATGCAAATTTGTCAAAAAAATCCAAGCTTGTACACAAAACGCGATGACATCATATCTAGGAATCTAAGACAGAGAAACAAACTAGTGCTACCAACTTCAAAACTAAAATCTCATTCATCCAGCCCATTTGCCATGTCTATAAAAGTATATAATAAATTACCTGAATATATAAAAAACATTACGAACGAAAAACCATTTGAAAAAAAATTAAAGCAACTACTTATAAACAAGTGTTACTATAGTACTTTTGAATTTTTAGAAGATAAAAATATAATATAATATGGATATAAATATAAATGTTAGGTAATAAGGAAATGCCATCCTACTAAATAAATTACAATAAAAAATTATAATAAAATTTAAAATGATTCAAATAATTTAATAAAAATTCAATTGTGCTACCTATAATAATACATATATCAAATGTCAAAATCAATTAATAAATAACAATTATAATAGCCTTATTACATATTTAATGTGTGTATGTTTATATAATATAATGAATGTTAATATTAAATAATTATTTAGCAATAATAATAATAAAACAAAATAAATGTTCCTCCTTCATAATATTGCTGTGCCCATGAGGGTCTATACAGAAACCATAAAACTATGTAACATGTTTTGTAACCTATGGAATGCAATAAAGTTATTGAGTATTGAGTATTGATGTTGTAGCACATGAACACCCACATCTTTTCTTAGCACTATATCATATGCTGCAGTGTAGCTCCATCATGTACAAATATATCAGAAATTGAACTTGGAAACCAGCACAGCCATAAACCTTGGACTACTGTAATTATTAAGCTGCAGTGACAGCGAGGTTGCAATGGCTATATATTATAAACAAACTATGAGCTGGTAACACAAGGACTAATGCCAACTGTAATTTCAGAGTGCACAAGCAATACTGGTTCAATTCCAGCCAGTATCCATGAAATTGTTAAGTGTTATTTTAAGTGCTGATTTTCCACTTGCTAAAAGGTAATAAATATTTAGGAAACATTTTAAATCTGCCAACATCCGTTGGAAGTAGCATGGCCGACATTTCCTATCCCTAAAACCCTCTCCGACATAAGAGTAGGCCTGTGCCTAGTAGTGGGATGTATGCAGTCTGTAACTTTACATACTACTTTCCATAAAACCATTCTGTCTATACTCAAAATTGATTTTATTCTGGCAATAAAAATACTGCAGTCAAACCTTAAAATTATAACTTCAGAGCTTTTATTGTACTTAACCACTTCCTAAATTACCAGAACTATTAGTTAGATTTAATTAGACTTTTATTATAGAAGATATTATAGACGATATTATAGAAGATTTAATTAGACTTAACCTTTATTGATATCTTACTAAATTCTGGAGAGTATTGTACTCACTCCAATCATAGGCAATTTAGTGGCAGACGCTTCTCTGCTCAGACGGCCACCACCAAAAGTAACCCTGGGGGGCTCAACACTGCTAGAGCGGTAACTTGCACTTGGTCTTCGTACTTCAGGAGACAGTCGATTAGTGGATCCTGTTCGACGTGGCTTTGGAAGCATTGAAGGTTTACCTTCCAATCTGCAAGTGTCATATTTTTCATTGCTAAATAAACATTGGCCAAAATAATGAAGTTTAAGCTATAGATGTAAATCAAAATACAAAAAATGTAAGAATAAAGCCTAGCATCTTGCAGGGACTGAGTTCAAATTACCTATTATGAAACTTCTATAAGAGAAATAAAACCAATTATTATGAATAACCATGATAGTTAAGGGAATATACTAAATGCAAGAAGCACCTCTATAGGCGGTGTACTGTGGATGATAAGTTGATAAGCTAGGCAACTGACAGACAACCGCAACTTAAACTAATTTTCTGCCAATAAAAATCTGTATTAATTATTATCCAGTATTCCCCTGTTTTCTCCTGCAAAACAAGGCTAAATTTTTTTTAAAACAAAATAAGAAAGATTTTGTCTGACTATATGTTTTCTTTTTAACTGTCTTCAAAAAAGGAGGAGGTACTCAATTCAACTGTATTTTTGTTACCTAAGAACTTTATTCTGTCGAACCAATTTTGAGGATTCTTTTTTATTTGGAAGTTAAAGTTTCTCATGTGCTCCCAGATAAATTTGATCAAGATCTGACCAGTAGTTTTTGTTATCCTTAATATTGCATATTTAATTGACTTCAAACACATTGATGACATTCACAAACTATTTATATTGAAGTTGGTTGTTCAACATTTTTAATTTTACCATTTGTACTTTTAATATTCATTAATTAATTTCTTTTTTCTGGATGTCGCCTAAAGGTGGTATGACTGGGCAATTTTATATTTAAAAATTTTTATTACAGTGGGTTTAATTTATTGGTTGTAGCGACCATTTATCTAAAGTGATGTTAAATCTAAGTGCCTTGATTTTAAAGCATACTTTAGTACAAAATTCATGTGGCTATAGTGACTTTAGATGTAACGCTGAGTTCGGATGTAGTGGCTGTTTTTAATGAATCATTTGTAACAAATTCCTGGAAATCCCTTGTAGATATTTGCGACCGGAGTTAGCCGCCAAAGACACAAAGATTTTTTCTTTCACAAACATTTCTTATTTTTTGTTTACATCCACACAGATGGTCAGCAAGGGTGGAGACTTTAATCTTTTGTTTATAGATATCAGCTAAGTAGGTAGGGAAGCGTGCATGTTTCAGAGTTAAATTTATGGTTCAGTTACAAAGTGATATTCTGAATGGCAGTTTGAAATGTACCAGTGAATAACTATATGTGCAAATATTTTCAATAATAAATGAATATAAACTATACATGTGTACATGTCTGTATCTCTTTACCTTTGCCTGTAACGACTTCCAGATATAACGACGAAAATGGAGTGGTCCCTTCATTGTTGTTATACCCGAAATCCATTGTATATGAATTGTTTAAGTACATTTTTACATTGATATAATTGCAGTTTGAATTGCTGATTTACCACATGATTGGGAAAGAAAGCACATTTAAAAATACCTGGCTAAAAAATATTTCAAGAACATCAAATATGATCTTAAGTTTTATACATTACTTCCCAAAATTCACTCTCAGTTCTACCCAAAGTTAGCTAGTAGAGAATGCCTCATAGCATTAGCTCGCCTTTTGTACAAAATCTGGTGCAAAAAAGAATAAAATAAATAAATAAACATTACATCCATGACATATTTTTTCTTAAAATTTTGACATCAGATTAATTCTACGCTATTGCGATAATATATACTACTATAATTTTCAAACTTACTGTTTTAAAAATTGTAAGCAAAGTCAATATACGCAATTAATGTTTATTACTAGTTCAGTACCAGAACACCCTTAATAATTATAAAATAATAGTAATTGACTGAACTGGGTTTCTGAGAAAACTAACACAAATACATAAACAAAGAAAAAAATAAAGAAACATATAGGTATCTCTAAATTTATAACAAGACTACAAAAAAAAATTTAACAAATGTTTGTTGTCCAGAAATGTACACAAAATTTACTCAAGTTATTTAAGTTCAATTTGCTTTTATTACCTAGATTTCCGAGCAGCAGGCCCGGTTAATGGAGTGATGATGTTGGATGGAATCATATTACTAACGAACTAACGATGATGAGTTGATCGGTGATTACTTTCACAACGATTACGTTCAAATAAACACTAACAATGAACACTATATATCAAGTCAAGACTATATCGGAGATATCGGAGGTTCAAATTGTTAACAGAATAATTCAAATTCAAATGTTTGTTGATTTGCTTACTACAGCACGCAAAGGTCTCAGAACATACAGCATAGTCCGATATGTAAAGTGAAGAAGAAAAAGTATCCTAAACTTCACAGTATGCTGATGCAAAGTTTTATGACAATAATCTACTACCAATAATCGATAATAGTATCTTAATATTCATATATTCATGGCAATAGTATCTTAAGCCACCGAAGCGGATGAAAAGTCTTGAGATTTATATCACCATCGTAGTAGCACTTGTCTCCATTTTCACTAATAGTTCACATCATGCGCAGAAGTATTGCCATTTGAGCGCATTTGGCGCTGGATCTGGTGCAATTCTAGGGTCTATAGCGCTTTTTTTAAATATCTAAGCGCTAAAAATATCTAGTGGAATCTGGCGGAAATTTGATATTAGTTTGCAGCGCAGTGTGATACAAAACACTAGCGAGAGTTTGGGTATTCTCCGACCAAAATCTTACTGATGCGTTAATATTTTACTTCACTTTTGCATTATGGTATTATGTAGCACTTTTGCTTTTAATTATTATTAATCCTCTAATCTCTAATACCTGAAAAAAACTGGTTTTTGCCACTTTTGAGTTTCATGTTGGTCTTTTAGCTCAGTTTTTTTGAGAGGTGCCGCCGAGGATTCATCCTCGTTGGCACCTCAATTTAAAATTCTTTTAAATTTCGAGCCTTCTGGCTTATAGCCAAAAATATAGATCGGAGTGGCAACAAATGGCATGAAATAATATGGTCAAATAAGAAGGTAATGGTGATGACATAATAAAGTTTTGGGCTCAAGTCTACAGATACAAAAATTCGGATAGGATGTATGCCTTTCAGGAATTCGTGGACTTAGCTTTAAGCGTACTGTCGCTTCCACATTCAGATGCTAAATTATAAAATTCCGCTCGAGACTTAACCTGCTCGGGGCTCGCGGCGCTATCCGTGAGTTTCTGCAACATCAGGGGATTTCATTCAATCTTTAACGCCGTCCACTACCATTTGGAAACGGCGAAACCGGCCTTGCTCTTTCTAATCGAGACACAGGTGTCCTCTCCAACAGATGCTTCATATCTCTCCTACCCGAGGTACAAATTAGAACACTATTTTGTGCCCGGGCTGGAGTTTGCGTGCACGTCAAAGAGGACATCTGTTTTCGACGACTTTGCAGCCTTGAAGGTACGGACCTGTCCATCTTATGGCTGCGCGTAGATAGCGATGACCATCCCCGCGTCTATGGGTGCCTCTATAGGTCCCATAGCGGTAATGCCAAAACAGACAGACTCATTGACCACGTCCAGATGGCTATAGACTCCGTGCTGATCAGATGCTGAACAGATCCCATCTGCAGAGATCGTGATACTTGGTGATTTTAACGCAAACCACGCTGAATGGCTTGGTTCTCGTTTAACCGACTATGCGAGGAGATCTGTTCATGATTTTACCTTGGCATATGGTCTGACACAACTGGTTACTTCACCTACGCGGATTTCAAATGTGGAGGATCATGCACCTTCTCTATTGGACCTTCTGCTGACCTTTCATCCGGACGGATATCAGATCTCCGTCGACGCCCCTTCATTTATTTATTTATTTAAAAACTTAGATGTTACACCTTAAGCTAAAGGGTACATAGGGGACTTAATGCCATGTGGAATTCTCTGCTAGTCAACCCTGGGTGTCAAGGACCATTGTTGGCAGGAGCGACCATTACACATAAATAAGTGCATATACATATATACAAAGTACATACATACACAATACATTTAAATATACACACATTTTGTATAAATATACGTACAATAATACATACATACATATATATAATATATACATGCTTATAAACTTCGTAAATAAATATCCAAATGAATGATATATATAATATAATGTTTGAATAATATATAATGAAATAAATATTTGAAGTAAAAAAAGAAGAAAAGAAAGACAAGAATTAAGGAAAAATAATGTCAATTAGTAGTTGCCTTCAGGTAATGTTCACCGTGTGGAGTCAATCTTGCGAAGACGTGTAAAATACGAACAGTTTAGCTTGGTGAATACGTGCACTCTAAATAGGACCTTAACTAGTTAGTGACTGAGTTCGCCTTTGTGTGTCTTGTGTGTGCAGTGATAAATAGCCTGCGCATCTCTTGTGAATCGCTTACAACGCTGTGCTTGAAAAGGCAAGCTATATTACATCTTGCTGCCGTAATGCAACGTACACCGCCATCGGCTACTTTTAAATGTGCATCCAACCCCGATATTCCTAACTCAGCGCTTAATATCCGAGATACTGATTGCTTTGTCAACCTACGTAAGCGTAAACAACCCGAATCGGATATGGCGAGCTCCGTAGTGGAGGTTGTCGAGCAAAAAATAAATGAACAGCTTGCAGCTTGGAAGAATCGGCTGGACACAAACATCGCTGAAACCATAAGAAACGCTGTTAACGCGACACTTGAGCACGAAATGAGTAAATTAACCTCGTCTATTAACAACTCACTGAAAGATATGACTACTAGACTGGATGACATAGAAAAATCTATCACCTACGCAGGTGAAAGACAAGATAATTTTGAGAGTCGATTGAAGTTATTTGAAGAAAAAGTTGTTGCGGGTAGCACTGTGAATTCCCAAATTGCCGCCTTAGAGAATAAAATTGAATCAATGGAGCAACAGGCAAGGCAATATAATATCGAGATTGCTAATCTCCCGGAACGACGTAACGAAAATCTTATAACCTTATTAGAGAAAATAGGTGCAATAATAAAACATCCTATCAAGGCCACAGACATTCTCTCCGCTCATCGTGTACCCCATTTTGATCAGAAAAATCAACATCCCAAAAATGTGATTGTTAAATTATCCTCTAAAATATTGCGAGACAACATAGTTCTGGCGGCGAGGGCAGTAAGAGGAGTCAGATCTGACCAACTCTCAATCTCTGGCACTCCGTGTACCATTTATTTAAATGAACACCTGACTCCAAAAAATAAACAATTATTTCGTTTATGCCGTGTCGCTGCGAAAAAGCATAATTATAAATATACTTGGATTAAGCATGGTACTGTACTTGTTCGCCAAACCGATTCATCACCAATATTTGCAATACGTAACGAACAAGACATTGATAAGATCAAGTAGTAACGTCAATAACAATTTGCATTTTTTGTTTTATCGTGTAAAAATGTATATATCAGTATCCCGTTAAAAAAAAAATAATAAGTCTACCCTATGTCTATTGTTATTTACCCCGTGTCTCTTGTTTGTGCGAATTGCAAATAATAATAATAATTTTAGTTGTGTGTTCCTATACTGAAAATAGTGCATTAATCTGTTATGATAAAGTATGTCATAAATATCACTGTATGTATTATAATAACTTGTGCGGTTTTAATCTGAGTTATAACCATGAAGTGGAAAATAATTTATGTTTGATGGAATTTTGGAAAACGGTACAAAACATAGCACTTAATTATTTTAGTAAAAATTATTTGGCAACAGTCTCAATAATGGTATATTACATTAATTATATCTCTCAAATTTCATAGGAATTATTCATTCAAAATGGCTAATAGTTATTTAACACTGTACTACCAAAACTGCAGAGGACTTAAAACAAAACTACACACTCTTTACACTAATGTTATCTCCAGTACCTACGACATAATAATCTTAACAGAAACTTGGTTGCGTAACGACATCTCCGATAGTGAATACATTGATTCTAGGTATCAGGTGTTTAGGATGGATCGGGACCGATCGACCAGTGGCCGGCGGGATGGAGGTGGCGTGCTTGTTGCCGTGTCGCGAGCGCTCTGTGCTACTGCACTCGCGATGCCCGCCGCCGACGTACCCCTCCCACCGCTTGTTGACCATTTGATGATTCAACTCAACATAGGAAAACGTAAACTGATTATTTGCGCTGTGTATATCCCACCTAAACAGAACTACGACACATACCGTGCTTATTTAGACGTTTTACACAGCGCGGTGCACGATTTAGATACTGACATTTATATAATAGGTGACTTTAATCTGCCTAGTCTAAAGTGGGAAAATAAAGGCATTTTCACTCAACCAATTATGAATTCTGATATAACTCCAACGCACAGATACTTAATTAACTTTATGTCATCACTTGAATGTTATCAGTTGAATTCGTTAAAAAATAAAACAAATAATATATTAGACTTATGCATCAGTAATAATATAAATAGCAAAACTTCTCCTGTACAATTACCTTTGATTCCACCAGATGGACATCACCCTCCGTTCCAGGTAGTTGTATCTTTTGTTGAGGAACTCAAACGCTTGAAAAACAAAAACTATCTTAAATATTGTTACAAACACGCGGACTATGCAAAAATTAATGAAGAAATAGCAAATACTAATTGGAATCTTCTCTTCATGGAAAAAGAAGTAGAGGAGGCAGTTTCTAATTTCTATGAAAGGATATATGCAATAATAAAAAAACATGTGCCTACAAAAGTTATTAAATCGTCACTTTTTCCTAATTGGTTTACTCCTGCACTTATCAATTTATATAAGAAAAAGGAGCGTGCCTGGATACAAATGAAAAGATATAATACGGAATCAAATTATTGTATTTTTGCTATACACAGAAAACAATTTAAAGAAATGTCGGATCGGCGTTATAAATCTTACCTCAAACATGTAGAACACAGTATAAAAAATAACATTAAATTTTTCTGGACATACATTAATAATCGTAAAAAGAACTCAGATATACCCAACACAATGCACTACAAAAACGTAACTGCCAATACACCTTCTGAAGTATGTAGTCTTTTCTCGACGTTTTTCCAATCAGTATTCGAACCTTCTTCTGTA